ACTATGCAAGGAAAGTTTACGGTATCATGGCGAATACCATCCACGTCTCGTCGGAATTTTACACGGACCGTTGCTTCTCCTCCATCACTGGCTCGTTTCTCAGTGTCCACTTGTCGAGACCGGGGAAAATTGATGGAAATAAATGGAATCCCGTGTTTGCGGGACCACTTTTCACGCTGATTTGACTGTCGGACTTTTTAGAGCATTTAGAACCATGCCACCAATTGTAATGGATAGTTTGAGCGATCATGATTAGAGCTATTGTTCGTTCGCGCCTCCGTGATAATTGGGTACAACGAGTTCCTTCAGCCGGCTAGAATTCAGGAATTCTGAGAAAAGGGTGGTCTTAAAATTAAGGAAGATGTTCGAAGTTTTCTTTCAGCTGTCTGTTTATGATTTTAGTAGACTTCCCTAAGAAAAATAGTAATGCCCCCCATAAAGTAATTTGTCATTACGAATTACACTTTCATTGATGAGTCGCAACATTTAAAGGGTTAAAAATCTATTGCACACTTTCCCGAAGAATCCTATACAACGTGTAATTCGAAACAGGTGTTACGTTTACACAAAAATCATCATGTCTCCATCGACTCAGCAGTTTCACATTTTCAAGCGCATAGCAAACTCTACTAGAGAGGTGTGAATTTTTTATCATCCTCTAAATCGCATTAATCGCGACATAAATCATCGATGCGCCTTTCTCCGGTAGAAAACAAACGATCGAACGAACCGACATAAACGAAACATCCATTACGACGTACGTAGCGAAATAGAATTTCAATCAATTCCCCATCATCGTTAAGTGCTACCGGGTCGTCGATTATATCGGAACCGTTCGTCTTCGCTGACGTGATTATCGTCATCAACGACGCCTAAATTCCGTCGTTCGTTGCTTTTCCTATGCTCGATCGCCGCCAGAAATCCTGCTCGAAATGTCACTGACAAATCATCTCGGACGGGAGAACGTCACTTTCCCAACGGAGATTACTTCCTTGCGCGAATTAAAATCTGTTTGGGGAACATTGCCGTTTGATTGCGTGGAAAGTTAGCAATTCGAAATGGGAAAGAACCGATTTCTACGGAGACGATTATTAACTAGCAATTTTGTAAAAATATCGTTCGCTGACGGCAAGGAAAGTTTGTTGTTAACAGTGGAAATAAACTGATGATTGATTTGGAGTTTAATTAACCCTTCAGACCCGACAATAATCGAGCTTTCTTAAGAATAATTAGCAGGAATTCTTAAAATTCTAATTTTCACTATATTAAAATTAGAACTATTCAATTTCCATTCAAAATTGATATATCATATGTAATATTTTGTTGTACTTTTATGTCATCAAAATTCCTATGTTTCGAAATAACTCTACTGATTGAACCTAATAGAATTTCAATTACAACCCATAGGAACGTTGCAGCCAATTATCACCGTTCTAAGGGAACAAATATGCAAATAAGGAGAAGAGTAATCGAAGCAAAAATACTTTCAATACGCGGTGTATTTCGAAGCTTCCGAGATCAGTACTCTAAATTAATAACATCGATTACTGTCAGCGGTATCTAAATTAGCTCGGCGTCAAACAGTTACAGATAAACCTAAGCTTGCTGCGAGATTAAAACAGGGCATTCGCGAACACTCGAATTGGAATGCATTCAACTTTCCTTCACTCAGACGTAATTAAGATAACTGCAGTACGTCTAAAGAAACGAACGTGCCCGTTTTTCGTTGAAAACGATTTCAATATTTAACACTAGAACAAACATCCTAATCAATACGACAGATTCCAGGCACCTTATTTCATATTAATTGTCTGATGATATCGATTTGTATAATTTAAATGAAATTTTTTATTGGTTTATGTTACTCTTATAAGAGGATACGCTGTAATATTCGATAAGGGTTACATTTTCAACCCCTCCCATAATTCTGCCTTCGTTAGTTTCATTCGCGAAAAAGAAACGAAGCGAAACGAATTAGCGCAACCGAGTTGCTAATTAAATTAATCGAGCGGTCGTTCTCGCCGGGCGCGAATATTCGAGCGACACTTAATTGCGCAATAACGACTGTAAAACATCGTAATTAGCATCCGGCCCCGTAATTAGCCATGGAACACGTGCGATACGTTTCGATCGGTCGTGTTCAACCGGCGAAAGAGCCGAGAAAAGCGTTCCGCATCGTGGTTGCTACACGATCGGCATGAAATCGAAGACCATACGCGGTAAAATGAAAAGCAGCCGTCGTGGAAGTGGAAATTTAATGTAACGGGAACTGTTTTGTGTGTTATATTATGCGAGCTATAATATGGATCGAACTTTGCATTAGAAAATTGTATAATTTATAGGAATTTATAGAGAAACTTTGAAAGAAAAAGAAGTAGCGGGTGATCAAATAATTATTTTTTTGAGTGCTATTAACACGTTAAATTATGTAGGACAAATGGCCACGGATAGCAATTATTTAATTATACCTGAAATTTTTGTCTGGTACCTTAAGAAATTAGTGTAATATTTAATATTAATGGCAAATTTGCCAATTTCTAAATCTAAATCTAACCAATTGTAAAAAGTTTTGAAAAATCTTAAATATTACCAAACTTTCTGCCATGATTATACGAATGTTGAACGTTGAAATAAGGGAAAGCAAATTGATTTACGAACGTCGTGTACGACTAGCCACATTCTCGCGTGATTCAGCAACATCCTCGTACGTTAACTTCGCCTAAAATCGCTGACGACGGTGCTGACCTATGTTCCCTGAGGCCACTGTAACCAAATACCTGGCTAACAGCCGGGTCATTCATGCTCATTATCCCGACACTTAATCCCAGGCTCTCGTTTAGTCGCGTGATTCCTGTCGATGGACTCTACCTAAGCCAGACACGACGCAATAAATAATAAGAATAGGTAGATTAATTTTTTTCCTCTTGCCACGAGGGAAAAAGAATATGCAAGGTGTGAAGAAATTAATATTTGACCTCTCGAATCGGTATTTATACAGGCGATAATTAATTAAGATGAATATATTAAACTTTTTAAATAAATCCTAATTTAAAAACCACTCATTGAACCTCCATCAAGAATATGCATATGAATAAATAAAAATTTTGTAAATGTTCTTTTTTTATCTTCCCTTGGAATTTCAGTGGTTAAGCAACTTTGATTCATCGACAGCATAAAACCTTCAATTTCAATTCCATTTATATCCGTGGAGGACGTGAAACGAAACGGACAATTGCCATTCAGCGATCTGCATCCGCGCGTGCATTTCGCAAAGTGAACGCGTCGAAGCGTCTTTTTCCAACGACTTATCGAGGAATTCGTTTACGATGAAAAGAAAACCGTGGTATGCGCAGGTGTACCTGGCGAACGTAAATGCGTTTACTCAACATCTTCCGCCATTAAGTTTCTTTTCTCTGCCCGGTTTTCTCATCGTCCAAACATGTCCCGATGTGAGTGTTGACCTCGTGGTTACTGGGAACCCATTGAGACAAACGTGAACGTTGCTAGAGCTATCTATGGTGCCCGTCCGGACGGTTTTTAAGATCGGAAAGAATTGACGCTTAAATCCAGGTTGGGAAAGTTGAGCCATCGTCATCGGCTACAGAAAACATAGTGGACTCCCGCGTGTACTACACTAATGTGATTCGTTTCTTTTCACGCTCGATGGCCATACCCGTGCGATACACGCCAAGGTAAAGACTATTTTTTTTTTTCCTCCTTCTTGATAACAGTTCGAAGTACATTCCAGGTATCTCAAGCAGTCTAACGCGTTGTCTATTATTATAAAAATAGCACAGAAATTTTTCTAATCATTAAGAATAGGAATAATTAATTTGCAATTTTGAATTCCAATCGATGAACGCTAATTCCCCTATTTTCTAAACATTCCGTTCGAATATGGTACCGTTTGAAAAATAATTCACTTCATCGTAAGATGATTTTCGAGGTGCAGACGAATACAAATGAGGCCTCGTGTTCCATGAAGAGCGTGTGTCGCAAGCGGAACGCCAGGGACGACGTCCCGAACGATCATCGGCCAATTCCTAGACACGGCAGCGAGCATAAATTATTCAGGCGATGTAGCAAAAGCGATTAATTTTATTGGTCGACGTCCCGGATATGGCTCGTCTGTACCCGTCACCGTCGCTTTGTTGCAACGTCGTATCCTATGCTCCGTGTTCCTCGATTATGCGCGAGCTCGGCTAACACCTTATTAACGTCGCTGCTTGCACGAGCACCGGCCACAGGAAAATTGCGCAAAGCGGACTCGAGCGCCTTGCTTTTTTTCTCCGCGTCCAGTCGGTTCGGTAATGCTGGTCAACGTGTAGAAAACAGGATCCCTCGCGTCGCGTAATTGCGCCAGGACAATGAGATACAAGGCTCTTCCTTCGCTCCGATTTCGTTCAGCAATTTCGAATTTCAGATATAAGATTGTTTGGAAAGTACAGTTCCAATTGAAACACGTGGGTCGAAATGATAAGGAAATTATTTGCATATTCTGTTATGAAAAATAGATGTTCTGTGGATTGTTCAACCCTTTCTTTTGGAATACCCTATAGATGAAATTAACACTAGAACTACCAGATCAGTCAAATTGACTGGCTTCAAGTTTCTTATTTTAAATTATAAATTTTATCAAGGTATTTTTGTTAAAATGTATGTTGGCTAATGCCGAGATAAAAAAATGGATGTATATATTCAATTATGTTTCATTCTTTATCTATTTAATTTTTCATTATTTTCGACTTAAAAATAAGTCCGCACCAAACGTCGGTAGTTCTAGTCACTGAGAAGCTAAACTGAACCTAATTTATTTATACATATATTGCAAGTATTATCCCCAAAATATAAAGTTAATAATAAATAAATAAACTGGATATTTGACTTTTGTTTGAATAAGAATTTCATAGAAGTCTTCAAACACCACCCTGCCATTTAAACGTTGAATATACATTCATTTTTACTGCATTTCTAAAATAGAATCAACAAATTTCAGGTTTAAACGCGAATAGCAATTTGTGTGCATGAACACCGCATAATCCGTACATTTCTCAAGAGGTGTAGACAGAGGTGAATAGAATCAAATATACAGTGGAATAAACTAAACTGTCGATGGGAAAAGCATGAAAGTTTAAGGTAGCAGCTGTATCTAATGAAACTCATAGCCGAGGAAGCGTTTCTGTCCAAGCTGCAACCTTTGACCCCAACTACGGTATGATGCGCCACGTGCAGTAGGATTCTTCAAGACGAGCCACCATCGTTGACGAGGAACGTCGTTTGGCTCGATCGTGATCGAAGTACGAAGGATTCGAAAGGTGTCTAGGTAAAAAAGATCTAACCAGTTACATGGTTACATATTCGAAATATCTACCCGATCGTTAACGCGATATTTATGTGGAATAGCTGGCACTCCGGGCGGCAGGTGATTGTAAATATCTCATCGGTTGCAAATTGAATATCTACGGTCAAAGTGAATCGTGGATACGGCGTAAAAGTGAGCGTAAAATTTAATTAATGAAACTGCTGCGACGATTGGAAACGCGATAAGAACAAGCGAGGGATAATTCTACAGGTTGTAAACGATCTTTTGTTGCACGACCCGTTCGGTTATCCGGCGAAGGCAATCTTCATCGTCGACTTGCCTCGGTGCAACGTCGCTGTTTTGTTGCCTTCCAATTGGCGAAGTATTACAAATACCTGTAGCAATTTACTGTAATCTAAAGTCTGTTCTTCACGTCATCAACGTTAACGGACGTCCCTCGGTTGAAACCATGAAGCGTGCTATCAAGAGACCCCGAAGAGAAACCGGTTTCCCTCATTTTGACACCGGCACCGTGTTGCGTTTACTTCAAACACGAAGTCGGTTAAATTATCGCCGCATCGGTCAGTGTAATTATAACATTACGTGAATTTAGCTGATACAGACAGGTAGTTACGACGCAACGTTACAACTTGAAAGAGCAGGGTCTGCTAGTAATTGACATAATCTCTCTAAAATAAAGTTGATACTATTATCTTAATGTTATTCATTTTTTGCAATAAAAATTACAGGAAATATTTATTGCAATTTAATTTAAATTTATTTACTATTTGAATTAACTTCTTGAGACCACCATAACTTTATCTCTCGAAGAAGTTGCTCTATTTAATACACTTTAGTTCTTCGAAGTTTCATGTTTAGTATAACTAAAGATTTCCAATTGGAAATATCATAGGAGTTGCAGGAAATGGCTCGCGGCTGAAAAATGTGCTCAACTTTCATCCGATTCTGTCATTACCTACCCCCGAGGAACTCGCGAGAGGTTTTCGTGTAACCTAGCCACGGTAGCTATTACGAACAGATTTAGCCGTTAAAGAGGCAACATTTAACGGGGTACTCATAAATCACGTGGAAGCGACAAGCAATTATAATAACTATCGCCGGCTATAGACGCATAAATAAAATACTAGAACCCCTCTGCTAGGTAATGAGCTGTGCGAAACGGGATGCGAACCAGTTTCTCGACTCGTTAATCGCAACACGGGCGAACAGGGAAAGACGAGTACTTTCACGAAAAAGGTCGTCGCGATCGTCGATGATCGTAGAGTGCCATTTTCTAATCGAAAAATTGGAACCCTTTGTAATATTCCATAAACTGCTCTATTTTACTGTATTTTTCTTTTCTTCGCGGATCTCCTCTGCCCTGCTGTAAAGAAGGTACTTATATCGAATATTTGCTCGAAAGCCAGTGTAAAACGGATCGGTACCCTCACCCCCGTCGTACCCTACGAGATTAACAGGCACGTGTCCGAGTTCCACCACTTAGAGCGTACCAGCTGAGTTCTCGGAACCGTGTTCCACGTAGTACTTCGTTCCAGGTAAAAACGCATTAATTAGATTTCCTGCGCTGCCCTTTCTACGCTGCTATCCAAAGCGAAGCCCGTAAAGCCTCAAGGTCGCGGATACCTCATCGACGCTGGCATTCGAGCCGAGTTTCGAGTTTCGGGACGGAATTAACCCGAGTAACTGTTTCGAGGAAACGTGCGAAAGGGTTGAATTCAAAGAACTCGGGGAAAGAAACGCGAACGAAGAAGGAACGAATATGAAAATGAGAAGGAAAGAGAGTACGGAATAGAAACAACCACCCACATTTCCTGTTTCAGGAAGAAGAAACGCAAGAAGAGCGATGGAGAAGTGCACCTGACAACGTGGGAGGGGGAAAAAAACGAAACACGATTCAAGAGAAAACAAAGCTCTAAATCAAGAAGAAAATGAAATATAACTGCTGACAGGAAGACACATACACGTGTACCGGATAGAACGCCGTAAGACGCGGCGAGGGAAGCAAAAAAGAGAAAGATGAAGAGCATCGGATGAAAGAGAAACAAACGAATCGCGAATGAAAATACACGCAAGAGAAAGGATTATAATGATCAAAGAGAGAAAGTATCCTGACGAGCAAAAAACTAAGTCGGGGTAAAGAAACAAAAGTGATGCACGAGGAATAAATCAAGAAGAAAGATTAACAGCGGCGAAGAAAGGAAAAGAGAGTAAGAACAAAGATAAAAAAGAAGAGTTAAATAAGGAACTTCAGTGAAGAGGAACAAGAAGCGAGGGAACAAGATAAGTGAACGGAAAAAAACGACAATGGGGGATAAGAAGAGGAAAAGGATGAGGAAACACAGTTGTATCGGCGAGAGAAGGATAATGAACTAGAGTACGTAAGAGGAGCCAAAAGTACATCGCGCGGCTCGCGGACCGCCATAACCTTTTATCAGTTATCTAATTAGCCGTTGCATTTAATTAGCGATCCGAGAAGAGGGCTCGGAGATAGCCCCGGCAACGTGCGAGACCGACCTACGGTTCTACATGCTCGTACGTAATTTTAATCGGTGCTCGCGTCAGATAACGAAGAGTCGACGGATGAGCCAACATTTGCAATTAGCCGTGTTTTTATTTTTTTCAATTATCTGGATATTCTTACGCTGCACCAATTTCTTTTCTCGTAAAAAATTCGAATCGACTTTTCAACCCTTAGCAGTCCGACTACTATGTCACTTATATACAGGGTGGAACATATACAGTGGAACTATATATTTTTTTTCAGATCATGTGATAGTTCTATTTAAAAAACAAAACTTGACCATCATATCTCTTAAACTAATAATGCAAAAAAATTTTCACTTCTGCCAAAATATAGTTTCCATTTTAACGTGCAATTTCCATATCAACAATTTTTTGTATCATTACTAGTTACGGAATAACAGCTGTGTCACACTTGGGCTGGAGCACCCTGTATGTAATATATGAGTTCTTCAATTTATTATTTCAGCCATAACAAGTACGCAAAAAATACAGAAAAGAAATTTCGCTTGAATAGAAAAGTGTTGTTTGTAGTGCGAATGACTTACCTTCGCCGGATCATCGATGAAGCCGCCGATGGTCATCACGTGTAGGGTAACCTCGCGCGTGTTCTCCAACTCCTCCATCATGGTGTACAGGCCCTCGCTGACGAAATACGGTTCGGGGCACGTGAGCCTGGAAAACGATCGGCAAATTAGATAATGAACAGGAATGCGTCAAGTTGCATCCATCGATGGCGAAATCGTGCCAGACCGGCACGACTCGGTGTACACCTCGAACGTATTAGATAACGTAATTAGCGCGTTGTGTAAGCGACGGTGTCGAACCAGTTCCTGCTTGTACGCTTCATTAATATGACACCAAGGGAGTACAGCGTCCTGTTTGGTGTTTAATGTAGAATCGAGGAGGAACGGTATTGCCTTTTGTACACCGATGAAGCTGTGATTGAAATTGAAAGGGGAGAAGCTGGGTCTTTCATCTGGCAGACAATCTTTGATCTTTGGAATTTCAAGGTGTTGGAAGGTTTAAGATTCAATCTCATTCAGTTAAAAATAAATTAAAAAACAGAATCTTACCCTAATTATTAATTTCTTAACACCACATCAAATAAATTTTATAATTTTTCTAACAGATGATAATTAAAATAGGCTACTGAAAAGTAACTTATTCAATTGTAAGGGGAATGGTTTATGTTATTTGCGAATCGGTAACCAACACCGTACACCGCAGGGTCAACTGTAATAAATATGTCTGGCATCTTCGAGTGGGTGAAGCAGGCGAGAAATATCGAACAGGTCGAGTGGTTCGAACAGATTGCGTGGTCGAGCAACATCAATTTCGAGGGTGATTCTGGTCGTTGTCGGAAGAGCCTCGAAAATTTCGAATGCCCCTGTAATCGAAGGACCACCTCCTGGTGTACGAAGTTGAATAAAGAAGATGCGTGAACCTCATCCTCCCCTGCGTCACCTTTTACCTTTCCCTTCTTGTTTTGTTTTCATTCTTTGCGATAATGGCATTCACGTGCTGTCCCTTAATAATACAGAATATTAACGACTTCGTGTATCTTCGTGAGAAAAAAAGGGTGAATTTTTATTTCCAAAGAAATTGCACGAAAATTTCGGCGAAGTTGGTTGCAATTTACTATATTATAAAATTGTAAGTCAACAAAGATAGATGGGGTCAGCAACAAATATACTTTCGCTGCAGATTTTTAAAACGCGATCACCGTGTTCAATTATCGGCCAGAAAGTTACACTTCCGCAAACAAACGTCCCGTTTCCTAGCGGCCGCAGAATCCTTTCCAATTAGAAACCGAGTGTGAAAATTAATCACCATGCCCGAAACCGGTCCCGTAACGAAAAGCTCCCACGCGCTCTTTAACCGCCACGGTTCCGTGTAATTAACAATTTATTCTAGGCAATTCACCAGTGGCCTTTCGTACGGCCAGCTACGTGCAGCCTCGTAACGAATAGATCCTCGAATCGATCAATCGCCCACATGGTTCACGGTGAAATCAGAATCCTTTAAATACATATTGGGCTCCGTGGAATAATTAAGAGAATGGATCGTATCGCCAGTCAACATGTTAACATTATCTTACAAACTTTCTCAGATTTCTGAAGAATGTCGTAAATATCCCAAAACTTTTTAGTTTTATTCATTATTTCCTGTAACGAGCAATGGACTGGCATGAAGGATCAACGGAACTTTCTTCAAGATACAACATCTCTTTCTAACGAAGGCAAGCTTAAACGAAGAACTGATATCACGATCGTGGATCGATAAAGAACAGGTTTAAAAACGGAAAGATCGCTGTAGAAGGAAACGAAGAGGTTGAATAAATTGTAATTATTCGAAGGATCCTTGGTTGCTTGATTAAACGTAATCTTCCGATTCCGATGCTAGTTATTTGAATGTTCATAATTGAAATTCGTTCGATTATCCTGTTCTTCGGTCGATCTTATTACCTCGATAAGTAACGGAAGTTCAAAAAGTGGTGGCATGGTTTAATCTTCGAAAATCAGAATTTATGTTACTAAAAAGGAGATACTGATCATAACGTGAGTTTCTTCAATGAACTTTGAAAGTATCGCTCTTTTGATCATTTTCGCGGTTCTCACAGTCAATCGAATCATTGTAATTAAGAATCATCATTCATTTTTTTCTTTCATTGACTGTACTAAGCCCTGCTTATTAAACGTGATTCAAATGTAATTAAAAACCGTCACCATGTCATAGGGTCTAATAAATACCGTTTAATCCACAGCATATCTTAGCCTCTGGTTAACAGTTATATTAGTAATTAATTTGCAAATGACCTTTGAGACTGTCTTCATTCATCGCGACCGCGGAAAACGCGGCGTCAACGATCGTACCTCAAAGGATTACCGATCTATCTGCCGGGTTTCTATGAATCACCACTTCGCAGTGCGGTTAATCGTCACTTAATAATTTATTTATTAACACTAGATGATTTCCAGTGTGTTATTTTTTTAAATATATGAGATATATTGTTAAGATCAGATTGAAACGACTCTCATGAAGCAATAAAACGATTAGCCACGGTTCCTGAATGGACAGTAGGAAGAAAATGGCTAAATAATTCAAGTAGGTGAAATTAATGAAAGAAACAAGAAACGGAGAAGAAAGCGAGACGAAGTTCCAAAATGATATTCTTAGAAACTTGGATCGGATTCCGATTGCGCAACGCGAACGGCAAGTGGCGCATAATAAAACGATGGGTGGATCTAACAGCGCTTGTAAATACGAAAATATTAAAAATAAATTCATAAATCATCGCATGCTAATGCCCGGTGCGTTGCGTCTGACGAAACTCGCGTCCCGTCATGGGCGTAAATTTACACACGCGTGTAATTTCAATATGTGACACGCGTGTAACGGTGGACACTGTGTCATCCCTTGGAATCTTAATCCTCGTCCGGTTATTATTCAAGAATTTGAATAAAGGTACACTCGCGATCAAATCAGGCTTTCCTCAATTATTTTCCTTAATTTACAAAAAATTCAGTTTTCATTCGCAACAAATTTTATAAAATAATTAAACAAGAGTAACAAATTAACCCCCTGCATTTTTTCTAGAAATATTTATATAAAATTTGTAACAAAAATTCTTACTGATACCTAATCATATTATTGTATAATAAAGTAATTGAACACCGTTGATATATCCTTTCTCTAACACTCAATGAGCTCCTTTCAATTAAGAAAAACAGAAAACGAGGTCGATTCACAGCAACACCGTCATCTAAAAAACGCCTGTTAACATTTCACGGCTCGATTTTCCACGTGTTTCCTTGTACACGGAACACGTTCGACCACGTGGAAAAATTTTAATCGATTCTAACTGCTCGTAAGATAATTTGTAATAAATTCCATACGAAAACCAGCGGGGCACCCACACCAACACGCATACACACATAGGTGTATGCGAACTGGTTTCACCGGTGACAACGTAAAATTTTGTGAATCTCGAGAATGGCAGCCTGTTTATGGGTTCCTTCAAGCTTTCCTCGCGAAACATAGACGGTTGTACAAAAATAATATTGATACAACAAATGTGTAAATTACGGTAAACGTCAAAATATACGCCTGGTGATATCGAAAGAAACCGGTTACCATCGACTATTAGATAAAGTTTAATACTTATTCATAATATGCTTAGAAATTTAATGTTAATCGGTTTGTTTAAATTGATAAGATTTGAAACTTTTTTTTATATTAATTATCCAATCCTTTGAAATTTAATGTGAATAACTTAATTAGTTTATATTCAAACACAGAAACTATTAGAGAAATAAAAAGAACGTATGTATACCGAATGGTAAAATAACTATTTCAAGGGTATCTAATAACAGAAGGAAAAAGATGCTACGATTCTTCACCCTCTGAAATATCTGAGAAGTCGCACCCATGCAAACACAGCTGTTTCCTCGGCGTCTTGACATGAAACGTCGAATATTTTGTTAATCGTATCGACGATCGTTACCAAATACAGATATCAAATCTGCGTGTAAGTACATGACTCAGCAGGGCGTGCAACCCGCACGCACAGTCCGCTTACTTTGAAACCGAACAAACTTTTGCCCGATGCGTACTTACCATTAATCTTCAGCCTTTCGCCGAGAAAGGATGGACCGTGTTCCTGATAATTCGTTAATCGTCACTTAATTACCCTGTCGATCGGTTTAACGATTCACGCGTGCGAGGCCAGGGCCTTTCGAACAAAAGCAACGCCGGTTAATTACGAAATCGCAAGGCGTTCGCCTTTTTATCAGCTTCCTTTCTACTCCTGTTTTCGCGACTCTTTCTAATCTTCTACTTTTACTGTTAAAATTATCGAGTGATAATTAAAATAAAGATTACACTTGAGTAAAAGTAAAAAAAAAAATTATTTTCTTCATTACGAATTTTTATGATTAATTACACTCAATGCAAAATAATTTAATTAAAAAGACACTTCATTCAAAATAATTTTAACCGCTATGGAATCCATGTCTTGGGAAAGTGTGACCAGAGAGGCAACACATGTGTCATAAATTAAATTATAAAAAATTTTAATTAAAGAGGATTAAATAGATTAGCGAAACCCCTGCCATCGACTCCGACTAAACATTAATCTCCAACACGCCCTTCCGATCATTTTTTTTTTTTCGCAGACCAGGCGAAATTTATCAGATGCTTCCTGGCACGCGTGCGTCTATAACCAGGCATTTAAATCATCAGGCCAGAAGCTACGATGCGGACTGCATTATGGAATCAATTTGCTAAATGGACGCGGAGGGGAGGGCGAATAGATGACGAGGACGTGGCTATAGGAAGAATGAAACGACGTGGGAAAGGCGCGAAGAAACGCGAAATAGGCACGACACGTAAGGGGGCGAGAGGGAGGGAAAGGGGGTAGCCGCACCCTGATTTCACGCATGCGACGACTCGTGCAGAGGAGGAAACCGAACGTGTGGACTCCCTGCCTTCTCTGACCAAGCACACACGCGAAATGTTGCGGCTATGTGGTCAAGACTGATTCATAGGCTTTCCTCTGTCGCCCCGAACTCCTCAAACTGCGTTTTATTAACACGACGATCCTCTTTTTATTCTATAGCAGGAATGGCGAATTGCCGGTTCGCGAGCCATTTTATATTGCAAGAAAAAGATAA